AAGGAACTTAATGCTATCATTCATGAAGGTAAAACTGATTTCTCCTCAAGAACTCTCATTGATTCCATATCTATGTTTGTGAGGCAATGGTTGGCTGCTAAAATTCCCAAAAAGCTTAAGGGTGCAGATGCTTGGCTCAATGAGAAGAAGTTACTGCCTTTCTTCCCTAAGGCCCATAAAATTCGAGTTGTTAAGTGGTTAGCTCCTCCTAAGGGGCGCCTCAAGCTTAACATTGATGCATCCTTCACCTCTGGGTCCAAACGTGGTGCAGCGATTCTTCGAGATGATGAGGGCAGATTTGTGCGTGCGTCTTCCTTTTCAGTCTCTGGTTCATCCCCCTACCAAGCCGAACTAGACACCTCCATCAAAGGTATTAAATGGGCTCTCAACCTTCATCATCTTCTTGTTTATGAAACTGATGCCTTGGAGATTTTGAAGAGAATTGGATATTACACGTATTACACTCATTCTCCTTTTCCGATAGATACCTTAGCCAAACTGATTCATGAGAATGACGTCTGGCGCTCACATACCTTGCGGGAAGGTAACCATGCTGCGGATCTCTTAGCTAATGAGGATAGGGACAAAGATTGTTCTTTCATTGAATATTGTAATTTTAGGGACTATCCTTCATCTGTAATGGCCGCTCTTATCAACGAGCGCCTCCCCTCATTTCGTTTTCATTAATAAAAAATTTTCTTCCAGTTTAATATATATATATATATATATATATATATATATATATATATATATATATATATATATATATATATATATATATATATATATATATATATATATATATATATATATATATATATATATATATATATATATATATATATATATATAGTTTAAAATATTTTCAAGCTTAATTTATTACATTTTTATGTCCATTCATAAAAAAAACCCCAAAACTTCCCTTTTTAGTTTATACTAGATAGTTGTTAGGATTCTTTCTCCAGCCTTCAAAATTGTATGAACACTCGTTCTCGCGGTGAGAACATTCTTCCGGGAACCAAGAACCCTGAACTTTTGCTCCGATGCCGTACCGTTAGAATTCCTCCTCAACTGGAGTTCAACGACGAAGAGCGAAGAGAAGAGGAAGAAGAAGAGGCAAATCGCGAGGAAGAGAATCAACACTCAGAGGAGGAAGAGGAACAAGAAATGGCGGCTAATCCTAGACGAACGATCCTTCAAGCCATGAGCCCGGCGTACGTAGAGGAAGATCCCATAGGTCTCCCCGCTAGTCAAGCCCATTCATTTGAAATCAAACCAGCAATGATCCAAATGGTCTCGAATAACCAATTTGGAGGCTCAAAGGCTGAAGATCCAAGAGCGCACATGCTATGGTTTTCTAGGACCTGCCAAACGTTCCAGTCCAACGGCTTATCCATGGATCGTGTTAAACTGTCGCTCTTTCCCTTTTGCCTTCGGGATCGGGCAGCTAGATGGTTAAATACATTCCCTAATGGCCACTTCAAGACCTGGGAGGCGTTGCATCAGGCATTCATGCACGAATATTTTCCACCATCTACTATGGTGAAAATAAAAAACTCCATCCAAAACTTCCGTCAAGCGCCTATGGAATCGATGAGCGAAGCATGGTAAAGATTTAAGGAATTGAAGGTTAAATGCCCACCTGCTTTAATTGATTCCGATAGTTTGATGTTCTACTTTTACCAAGGCTTAACGGTACCATCTAAGAAGGAATTGGACCACTCTTCTAAACTTGGTTCTTTTCTGGAGATGACACCTGAGGAGAATGAGGAGTTAGTAGATAGACTTACGTCAAATGCTAAATATTGGTATGAAGACCGAGCTCCTCCTCCTAAAGCTGGCATGTATGAAGTAGACCAATTCACAACCCTCAAGGCTAGTATGGAGAGCATCGTGAAACAAGCTATCAAGGAACACCTCGGAGCTTCCCATCCACGTCCTAATTTGTATACTGAACCAGTGAATCAAGCTGAAATCTATGGTTCTGGTAGTCACCACCAGTCAGATCTTGTCTTGTCTTGTGAGCACTGCTTTCAAAATCATCTTTCCTCTGCTTGTCCCTTGATTGAACCACCCCATCCGAGTAAGGCTAAAGACCTTAATCTAGCACAATACGCGAATAAAGGGGAAGGGCCTTGGGCCCAGAACAATCAGGAGCAATGGCGGGAAAGAAACAACTTTCCAAGAAAAATCATCCCAGGGATGACTATAAACAGGGTAATTGGAAGAACAATAAAACCAATTACCAAAATAACAATGCACCCTACGTTCCACCTCATAATCGCCAACCTCCGCAAGAAGATTCTTTGGAAAGGATGGAAAAGATGATGATGGAGTACATGCAGAAGATGAACAATCTGGCAGATGATTTGAAGGAACGTGACAAGACGCGTGATAACCAACTCCAACAAGTGTGGTGGTCCCAAAGTGGTGAGGTACAAGTCTAGAGCGGGGTGAATAGACTTTGTTACAAATTTAAAACTTTTTTGTTTCTTTTGAAAACGTGAAAATGAATGTTAATCTAGAGTTCTTGTGAACTTTAGATTGTGTGCGGAAGTTGGTGGGTAGAGTGAGCAGTAATCAATATGGATGGGTTAGTTTTCACAGTTAATATAATTGCAAGTAAGAATAAAGATAAAAGAGAGAGACACGCAAACTGTAACACCCTAATCCGTCCAGGTCTGCAGCCCCATTCGGACTAAAGTATTTAACTTGGTAATCGTAAAATTTAAAACTTTTCAAACACACTTTATTAATCCCAATAATATTTTTCATAACATATACAGTACGCAGTATTTAACAATATTGCGGAAGTGAATTTAATATTGACATATCATAAATTATTTCAAAACTTGTCACATCCATCCTGACAATATCGCCCCATCTGCCGCCAGGATCACATTAATCTTTCTGTTTACCTGCGTGTAGCAAATAAAACACACTACACGCTCAGCGGTGAAGCTGAGTAAGCATATCTAAATCCAGCTTGTAGGTGTATTTAACTTAGAGTTAAGTATTAGTTGGTAAACTATAGTACGTGTGTTATATACCAAGTTTGTAAGTATTATAAAAGTTATTTTTATTCCAAGTCATTTGATATTCAATATATATCAATAATGCTCTTAAATTATTCTTAATCTAAGGCCACATCATTTTATATTCAGCTCTTAGCTATTCCTAGCCTAAGGCAGCAATTCTAACCAGGCCCTTAAACTATAAATAGTTTAATGCAGAACACAAGAATCGATAATCCACCCTATGAGTCATGTGGATTACGTACCAACCGAACAATGATTTGTCGGGTGGGTGATATCCGGTCTGGATCCCGTACGTACGTTTTAACCCGAAATATGAATTGGTCAAGTAGGTATATCTTAGAGTTATTCTAGATATCCTTAAGAAGTATGATGACATCAGTATTTCTCATCTCAGTAGCACTTCCTCCGATCACAAGCCTATTCTACTTCAATGTGTCCAAACCCAAAATTTTGGTCCAAAACCCTTCAGATTCCTAAACATGTGGTTACATCATAATAAATTCATGCATGTTGTGTCTGAATTTTGGGAATCTCAACCTTCTCTGGGAGGTATGTTTGGACTGGCTCTCAAGCTGAAAGGGCTCAAGTCTGTTCTCAAAGAATGGAACCAAAATTCTTTTGGTAACATCTTTGATAACATCAAGGAAGCAGAAAGTATGGCTAACTGGGCCCAGGAATGCTATGAAAATGAGCCTTCTGAGATTAACAGGGTCAATTTCAACAAGGCTAAAGCAGAACTCTTATTGGCCACAGATTATGAATACCATTTTTGGAAGCAGAAAGCTAATATTAGATGGATGGAAGAGGGTGATTCTAATTCTAAATTCTTTCATGCTTTTGTTAAAGGTAAGAGAAGCAGATCAATTATTAGATCCATTGAGGATGCTAATGGAACTCTGATTTCCAATCTTGGAGAGATTAAAAACATAGCCATTGATCACTTCACTTCTCTTTTCTCTACCAGGAAGCAAATTTCTGTTAATTCAATTCTGGAGTATATGGAAGCAGGCATTTATGAGGAAGACAACACCTACCTTACCTCTCTACCTACAGGGGAAGAAATAAAAGAAATAGTATGGAGTCTTAATCCAGACAGTGCTCCAGGTCCAGATGGGTTCAATGGTAAGTTCTTTAGGAGCTGTTGGCACATTATCAACAAGGATGTTATTAGTGCCACTCATGAATTTTTCCTTGGAGTTCCAGTCCCAACTAGCTATGGCAGTACCTTCCTCAGCCTTATTCCAAAAATAAATGATCCTAGACAGTTTGGGGATTACAGGCCTATCTCTCTTTCCACCTTTATGAGCAAGATTAATACTAAGATCTTAGCAAACAGATTACAGAAACTCCTTCCTAAAGTGATCTCTGCTGAACAAACTGGCTTTCAAACTCATAAGGGGATTGAGGAACAAATACTTCTCACAGAAGAAATGGTTCACAAGATTGATAGTAGCACCAGGGGAAGAAATGTTGTTATCAAACTTGACATGGCCAAGGCATTTGACAACATGGAATGGGACTTTATTAGAGTTATGCTTAATAGTATGGGGTTTTCCTTACAGTCCACTCAACTCCTTTTAGCTAACCTGCAAGCTACTCACATCTCTATTTTGATTAATGGGAGTCCCTGTGGTTTTTTCAAAATGGCAAGGGGGGTGAAACAGGGAGATCCTTTATCTCCATTACTTTTTATCCTTGCTAGTGAAGGCCTGAGCAGAATGATTATGAGTCAAATGGAGTCTGGAACTATTGCCAACTACAATACTGGTAGGGACATTCTTGTGAGTCACCTAGCTTTTGCTGATGATATTATTATTTTCAGTAACGGAGATGGGAAGAATCTTAGAAAACTAAAGAAGTGTCTCACAATATACATGGATGCCTGAGGCCAGGAGGTCAACTATTCAAAGAGCGGGTTTTACTGTGGCAAAAAGTGTACTACAGTAGACATCAATAAGATAAGTTCTATACTTCATATGCAACATGGCCTTCTACCTTTCAAATACCTTGGTTCACCTATTTGCAAAGGCTAGTTGAGAAAAGAAGATTGTAAAGACCTGGTGCAACACTTTGACTCCTACATCCATAGTTGGTTTAGCAAAACTCTAAACACTATGGGAAGACTAATCCTTACTAAACATGTGCTTTCAGCAATCCCCTTACACATTCTAGATGTACACTCATTGCCTGTATCCATTATTAACAGCATACATAGAAGGCTGAGCAATTTCTTTTGGGGGACTAACAAATACCATTGGAAGACTTGGGAAACAATGTGTCTCCCTTGTGAGGAAGGAGGATTGGGTCTCAGAAGTCTTAAGGATGTACAAGAAGCCTACTCGATCAAATTATGGTGGAAATTCAACATGGAGGAAAGCAAATGGGGAGATTTCATGAGAAACAAATATAGCTCATGGGATTACACAGAAAAACTCACATATTCAACACCTAGGAAAAGAATTTGTAGAATTCATCCTAGGGCTTTGGAATACTTTGAGAGTCAAGGAGGTCTTAACAAATTCTCACTCAAAGAAGCTTTTAATTCCTGCAGAAATAAGGAGACTGCTCAACTTAGCAATAAATTCAATTGGAGCTCAATGCAAATCCCAAAAATCAGAATATTTTTGTGGAAAACTAACTATGAAGCACTCCCTTGGCCTGAGAATTTGAAAAGATTCACTACCCCCAATCCTAGTTGGTGTCCTTTATGTCACAATTGCATCTGCAACTTGGATCACTGTCTTCTTCAATGTAATGCTATTAAAAAAATCTGGAATTGGATGGCTTGCTTACTGGATGGTCCACTACTCAGAGAAGGCATTAGCTTCAAACAACACTTGATTGAATGGAACATTCGATCCTCTACATCAACCCTAAAAGGTAATCTTCGGCTAGTGGCACCTGGAATCATTGGATTTTGTATCTGGAAACAATACACATCAATTGTCTTTGGCTGCTCTTCGTTTCTAATCAAAGCTATTGAGGATGAAATCAAAACCACAATTCATACCTGGTGTTGGAAGTATAGGCGTAAACGATGGATGAATCAAGCGGAGGATCTGGCTACGATTGGAATCACTCTTCGTTACAAGGATGGTCGAGGCATCTGGAGAATACCGACCCACAGATAGTTTTCCTTTGTCTCATTTTTTGATTTGGATTGTATTTTGCTATCTTTCATGTTATTGTCCCTTTCCTATCTACTTTCAGGGCCTCGGACTAGTCCTCCCCGAACGTGTACCTAAATCTATTTCAATAAAACTTGGTAAGGAGGCCTGAACCTTACCCCACCGATTTTGGTGGTTCTTTTTCGGGTTAAAAAAAAATACAAGTGGGTATATCTTAGAGTTGTTCTAGATATCCTTAACAATACGATTCATTAATTCATTATTTTCACTTTAACAATTCATGATCATCATTCAAAACATTCATCATCATTAATTCATTATAATCAATAATCAAACAATCGTCATAATGCATAATAACAAATAGCGGCCTAGTCTCGAGTGTTAACACCCGAACTTACCGTCATGCATCACGAAATGTTTATATGTCACAAACATCATTTTTATTGTACAAAATCATATTTATATTGTGCATAATTAATTGGTATCAAAAATAGGATTTAGGAGCATATTTTTAGGAACATTTTCATCTGGAATTGAGGAAAATAATTTAAAATAATCAATTAATTTATAAAAATTTATTTATATAATTTTATATAATCCATTAATTCATAATAATCGAATTTTACAATTTAAATAATCAATTAATTCATTATAATCGATTTTTACAATTTAAATAATCAATAAATTCATTATAATCGATTTTTCCACTATAAATAATCGATTAATTCATAAAAAATCAATTTTTACAATTTAAGTAATCCATTAATTCACAATAATCGATTTTTACAATTTAAATAATCCATTAATTCATAATAATCGATTTTTACAATTTAAATAATCCATTAATTCATAATAATCGATTTTTACAATTTAAATAATCTATTAATTCATAATAATCGATTTTTACAATTTAAATAATTAATTAATTCATAATAATCAATTTTTACAATATAAATAATCGATTAAATGGTACTGACTTCGAACCACTGATCTGAATAAAATTCTAATCGATTTTTAGTAAGTAAATAATCGATTTTCGGCCACTGTTCATCATCTTCTTCCTCGGGTCAGTTTTAANAATCACCAAACTTCAATTTAATTATATAAAAATGTTCTCCAATGTTCACAGATCATTTTAGAGTCATTAATTCGTAATTTTAACAACAATTTCATGGTTTATGATTCTTGGTTCTTCAAACATGTCAAACACAAAACTCAACCAAACGACCGTTTATGAACGTAGAAACGATCTATACGAACATTCTAGTCACTAGATATATCTACGGGCTTACTTCGAAGTTAAACGATGATTCCGGCGATTTAACGATGAAACTTCTAGCGAACACCACGGCTTGCTCCGGCGACTTCTCACCAAATTGACAGCATCATGGAAATCTCCACACTCAGAGGAACATATTAGGAAGAAAAATTTCATGAATTGGTGGAGAAATGAAGGAGAAGAGGGATGCTTTATAAAGTGAAGAAACTAGAGAAGATGACAATGTGGGTTGCTGTTTGTGATCCTTCGTTCGGCGTAGTGGGATTGGCTGCGATATGTTCTGATTTCGTACGCCACTCCCTGATTGGGACCAATTTTGGTTACAGTCGGATATACTTTTTGGTCCAACTTTCTCCAAATTGAAATCCGTTTGCACCGTTGCAATCAGATAGTTAAACTTTATCCAATGACATAATTTTCATGATTATTTGTAATACTTTTTCCGACACCATATTTTTGGGTGTTTAACTTTGACAGAGTCAAAATTGATTAAGTTGAACTTTATTCAAAAAGGTTCTCTCATTTCATTCATGTTGTTTACTCTCATGATTTATTTGAATAAATAATTTCAGAGTTCACATCACAAGTCAATTTCTTAATTTATTCTTGATCTGGGTATGTACTCAGGTTCCTAATCAAGATCACATAATAAGTCAACATATGAAATTTTATCTCTTTGAGATTTATCCAGATTGTGATATTAGACTTTAGAACATATTTCATATCGAGCCCAAAGCCCAATAATAATTTATTTTAATCAAAACAAATTTGTTTAATTGAATATTTAATTCAATAAATTTTAGGGTATATTTTGGGGCGTTACATTTCTCCCCCTCTTAAAGGAATTTCGTCCTCGAAATTCTTCTAAGGTCCAACGTTCAACATTTCATAGTGATCTCACTTAATCATGACGGTGTCATGCTCAATTGGTTAAAGCATAATTACGTCATTCTCCACACGGATACGTACTCCCAATGTTATCAAACTCTTTCTTTCTTTAATAGGTTATTAATCTTTGATTGAGTAAGGCATTCAGTGATCTTTCAGCATCAACAACTAAAGTTCCCGTGTATAGGGTCGTAAACTTGACATACTGGACATAACACAATTACTAATTGCACAACGTCGATTATCGGTATTCCTCCTTTGATTGAAAGTCTTTCGGTAGCATTTGCAGTTTCAAGTCCTCCCATTCACGAAAGGTATAGTTGGGAATTTAGAGTTCGTTTTCAATCCATATATCGTAGCGTAATCTTTCAAGTCACTCAAGACATCTTCACAATGTTTACATAGTTCAGCAATGACTCGTAAGTAACATCAAACGGCTTTCCTTGATTCAGGATATGGAATTTGTCATCATTTATGAGTAAGTACTTGTCAATCGGTTGTAGAGTAGCTCGTTATCATCGATTTACATCGAAACATTTCTTCCTTCACTTCACGGTAGCTCACATTTATCGTTTAATGCGTCTTCGTATTCATAGGTGATGACGTTCGAGTAGCGTCTCATGTATGACTTGTCGTATTCAAACTTCTTCTATTAATTTTAAAACATATCTAGATATGATAGCGAAAGATTAGATTGTAGCACTATGGCTGATCTCGTTTTCGAGAGAAAAAGAGAATATCTTCGGTATGTGATTCAATTCGCGAATTCAAAGAGTAAGGAATCGTATGAGTTCTCACGTATAGATTCAAGATTTTTGCTTGAATGATTCAGCTTATTCTTTGTGACATCATTTCTTCTCTGGTTGTTTCACACACATTTCATTGCTAGGGTTATAACGGAGTTTGTTTGGTCAATAAGATCATCGATAATAATCTTCAGAGATAACTTAATCGCATTAATTGTTTTGCTGTTCACAAAGAGAGGTTCAACATAATATTCCATTTAGAGTGCCTTTACCATTGTGATCTGAGTCGCGTAGTTCACAGAGTGTAGTTTTCAAAGATCAGTATAGCGCATCTTGTTGAGTTAAGACAAGTTCTCAATGGTTTAGTATTTTGATACAACAATGGAATTCAATCGCTGGATCAAGTGGAATGTTTCAAGTATATAATTGACACAACAAGTTTGAGTATTTCAAGGGTATGAGTCATAAGATACAAGATAGCATTTGCGAATTATCGTCACTAATCGTAGGTTTTCATCCTTCAATGTTTCACTCTTTGGAAGTCACTCAAAAAGGTGGTTGTCGTAGGAAATAGCCGTTATGACTTTTCGTCTCGGATTTGAACGTGTTTTAGGACAGCGAATCTAACTGTTCAAGAGTCTCAATGCGTCATATCGTCAGCAGACTATAGCATTAGCGAGTACGTTCTTGTCTGTAGGTATATTGAATACATTTTACTGTACGTATTTTGGCTGGTGATAATTACTTTTCCATCAATGGTCACGTTTCAGAGACTATATATATCACGATTATGGGAAGAGTATCTCACATTCTCACATTATGGAAGGAACTTCTCGAACACTTCCTTACATCATAAGATTCGTTGGTCTACTTGGAAGTCATTCTCTTGGTAGAAATCCAAAGTTTGTGGCTACTGCGGTAGATTTAAGAAGGGAATTGATAAGGCGAAAGATTAAACTTGCCTATGGTGGAGGTAGTGTTGGCCTTCAAGGAGTTGTTGCTTCAACAGTCTTTACCAATGGTGGTCTCGTTAGAGGTTTCATACCTGGATACATAGCAACACGACGGGTTTACGGACCTACATACGGTGTAGAGCACACATTTTCCAGCAATTACTACAAATATTTTGAGATGAATCATGCCGTGGAAGCTTTCATCGTTCTTCCTGGAGGAGTTGACACTATGGAAGGTTTGTTCACCTTGATCTCTTGGGCTTCTAAAGGGTTACACAATAGACCCATTGGTCTGTTAAACATTGACGGTTATTTCAATAACCTTCACAAATTCTTAGACGATGTGGTGAGATAGAACTTCATGGCTTCGAGTCAGAGAAAACTTTTTATTTCTTCATTCTTTGTTGATGAGCTTTTAGACAAACTAGAGTTTGCTAAAGCTTTCCCGGGACCTGGGATTAGTTACGATGAGTTTGTGAATCCCGGAAGACTAGACTTGGAATTGCATTTATAACTTTCTTCACGTAATCCAAGTTGTATTTTTGTGTTGAAATAATATTATCCATAAACATCAATGGTTAGCCATATGCAAGCTACATTTTCTTCATTCTTCGGTCTTTCACTATTGGTGTCACTGTTTCACATCTTGTTTTGTTTTGTCACCATGTCGCAATCTCTCACGTTAATATGGTATACGAACGAGTCAATCACTTTACTTCATTATTTCAATCAGACTACATCGACGTTTTAGATGATAAGAAATTAGCTCATTCATCGTTTCATAACAAGGCATCAGTTCATTCAACAAGGTTGAGCGGTCTATAGCTTTTAACAAGCAGGTTATTCGAACAAATCGTCTATACGTAGTGAAGGGTAGCGATTTTTTGATTATTAGTTTGTCCATCATTCTTAACAGGGATGTGATAGTATCTTGACCGTAAGTCAATTATAGAGAATACAATGGATTCTCTAAGCTGATCAAATAAGTCATAGATACGAGATAAGGATAACGTCAATTTCCTTGTAGGATAGTTCAACAAAATTTTGCAAGGAATTGTTGCTAAACGAACGATTTCGATTCGTATAATATAATCGCATATTTGCTTCGTAATGAGTTAGACATCAGAATGGGATACTTTTAGACAACAGAGTTTATTGATTCTAAACGTTCGTGTTTAAATCAGCAATCCGATCATCTTCAGTCCACATGAGGATCTTTGACAGCAGCTTCGCGAATGTTATTCAACATTAGGCGTTTCTTCATAGTCGTCTCACTTCTATGCAACTTTGCGAGATAGATCAGTTTCGTCAATCGCGATATGATAAGTACGTTGATAGCGTATCACAATTTTTTTTATTCTTTCGTCTCTTCACCGAGTACGAAAAATCTACTTGAGTCTATGCTCGATATAATTTCAGAACTAACAATTGTTATCTAATGAGAATTTTAACAACGTCAATATTTATCTAATAAATTCTCTTACCTTTCCTGGAGCAGAGGGATGCGAGAGTCGTGGATGTGACTGACACATTTTTTTTAATTTATATTTGGATCCAAAGATCGATTTTAAAACTATTTGCTCTGATACCAAATTGTAACACCCTAATCCATCCAGGTCTGCAGCCCCATTCAGACTAAAGTATTTAACTTGGTAATCGTAAAATTTAAAACTTTTCAAACACACTTTATTAATCCCAATAATATTTTTCATAACATATACAGTACGGAGTATTTAACAATATTGCGGAAGCAAATTTAATATTGACATATCATAAATTATTTCAAAACTTGTCACATCCATCCTGACAATCTCACCCCATCTGCCGCCAGGATCACATTAATCTTTCTGTTTACCTGCGTGTAGCAAATAAAACACACTACACGCTCAGCGGTGAAGCTGAGTAAGCATATCTAAATCGTCGAACATCCACATAAATTGAATCTCAATTCATAATCAACCATTTGATATCATGCACACAATATATGGTTCAAACATTCATAATATTTTCAATATTTTATTCCAAGTCATTTGATATTCAATATATATCAATAATGCTCTTAAATTATTCTTAATCTAAGGCCACATCATTTTATATTCAGCTCTTAGCTATTCCTAGTCTAAGGCAGCAATTCTAACCAGGCCCTTAAACTATAAATAGTTTAATGCAGAACA